AGAGGCAGTCCTTGCTTTATGACTGGCTGGGGAATTCTGAGAGTTGAAGTCCACAAGTCTTAAAGTTGCCAAGGACGGACACCCTCCTGCACTAAATGTTGGGGTGGGGGGGGCTGCTTTTGTGGGGTTGCTCCATACTGAAATATAAAGGAATCAAAGGCATCCTACAGAAACAATGGCTCGATTCATATCCAGCACTACAGTACTGTAAACCGTTGCATTTTAGTCATGTTTTGCTGAATAAGCCACGCTTGGCTGGATTTGCGTAGAACATTGCATGATAAACCGTGGCTCACAAACCATAATTGCCAAATTGAGGCAATGGCACCAAGCCAAAACCAAACCAGCCACATTCTGGCAGTCAGCAGAAGTAGCCTGCAGTACTGCATTCCAGCCACAGCGCCACCATGGCGCTAGCCTGAATGCCACCCGTGTGGGTCTGGCTGTTCATGGCTGATACCAGTTGAGGTCAGCGTTGTGGGGGGAGACTGCAGAAGCCACATGTCAACAGAGCCCATGTTGCAAAAGAGATTGGGGCTTTGCCGTCCCATCCCTTACCTTGTTTTTCACCTCCTTCTCGGAGCCCACGTCTCGCACCGGCTCCTGTTCCGGGGAGGCCTCGCTCTCCTTCTCAGAGGCAATGCGGTTGTCCATCTCTTTCTCCTTCTCTCCTTCCTTGTCTTCCCCCTTCAGACGGGCCACTTCCTTGCCCAGCTGCTGGTTCTCGTTGAGGGCCTCCTGCTTCTCTCGCTTCAGGCCGGTCAGTTCCTTGCTCAAGGTCTCCAGCTTCTGGCGCAGCTGCCGCACCTCCTCCCGCGCCTTGTTGCGCTCCGCACGGACCTTGCTCCACTTCTCCCGCCAGTTGGCGGTGCAGTCAGACCACCAGCGCATGGTCTTCTCCATCTGGGCGGCCCGGGCACGGGCTTCTTCGAGCTCTCGCAGGCGCAACTCTTCCCGGCTCTCCCAGTCGCTGTCGTGGCAGGTGGAGTTCAACAGGGGGAGCTGCGGCGGGCCGGGGGAAGGAGTGCCGCTCTTCGGGGTTGGGGACATGGAGTCTGACAAGCTCATCCTTTCAGGCTGCGGGCTCCCGAGGATGCTGAGCAAGCTCCTCTTGGAGAGCTGAGGAGACTCAGCCAGCTGAGAACTGGCACCGTGGCTCATTTTGCAATGGGTGGTGGAAACATCTCCCGTCAACAGGTGAGTGGGGAAGGAGTCCACAGTGCCATGAGCTGCCCAGCGGTTTTCCCCTCACGTGTCAGAGGCCCCGGAGCCGTCCTTCCAGAATCTCCCTAGATGGGAGCACGAGACCCAGGAAGACGCTAGAAGACAGGAGACGTTGCAACTTCAAGGAAGACGACGCTTTCTGGATATCTCTTGTGCTCCAGGCTTCCAGCTGTCTGCCTTAACAGATCACAGTTATCATGGCAGCTGGAGAAGGCAGAAGTCTACCTGAAAACAAGAGAGGAAGAAAACGTGAATTATCCTGCAAGCCACAACATTGGGAATTCTCAGTTGGACTTTCCTGGATGGGCTTTAGAAACTTTTAGAGAGTATTGTTTGAGAACTGCGTTGTGCATCCAACATCTGGCAGTCAATGGAAACTGGGGATAAGGAATGCGAAGGGCCTGCAGATGTTGCTCAACCTCAACTCTCAGCATCCTTCCCCTTGGCCCAGCTGGCTGAGACTGCTGGGACTTGTGGTCCAGGAATGCCCAAGACGGCTACCAGCTCCTCAACCCAGATGAAGACTTGCTTTCTAGGCGTCTGTCTTGCATTCCTTCGGCTTTCCGGAACTCCTGAGGGACTTGAGAAAGACTCCAAAAAATTGAAAGCTGATGAAGTCCTCCTCCTCCTCCTTCAATGAATGCAAGCAGCTCACTCTGTTTTGGCAACACCCCCTGGCAAGGAGCTGGTAGCGGCGGCAACAGCAGCCACCGAATATGCAGTGACCTCATGCCATTTTTCCACTCAACTTGGACCTATGCCCAGAAACTGTAGGAAGAAGATTCTCAGAAGTGGAGGATTTTTTTTTAAAAAAAGGAAAATCTAAGAAAAGAACAAAACAAAAGAGATAATAATTGCATCCAGCTTCATATAAACAGAAAAAAAAATGCAAGGGGAAAAGGGATTGCAAGCCATGGAGCAGAGACTGAGGGTCCACTGAAAAGGTTAACATTTGAGGTGGCCACACTCTTCTACACCTGTCCACACCTGAAGAAGGCGGACATCCCCCACTCCTGGTATCTGCCCCCCAAATAGTTTTTCAATTGGTTGGAAGAGATCCAGCAAAAGCCTCCATCCTCAGAGTGGGAACATTTGGAGGAAAAATGCCTATTCCACATAGGGAGAGCTGGCCTACAATCTTGTTCACAGAACATAGAATCATAACTTGGAGATTTTCTAGTTCAACCCTCTACCCAAAGCAGGAGATCTTACACCAGCCGGTCAAATTGTTGTCCAGTCTATTTTTGAAAACCTCCAGAGTTGGAGCACCCACAACTCCAGGGAGGCAAGCTGTTCCATTGATTAATTGCTCTCGTAATCAGGAAATTCCTCCTTATTTCCAGGCTGGAGCCCCCCTAATCCTTCATAGCCATTGACTGAATTTCTGTGACAGCTACAGTCTGTTTACATAGATTTCTTTAAAACTCCAATTCCCATCAATTCTGGGAACTTTGCAGCATAAAAAAGCTAGAAATTTGTGTCCATAAAAACAATTAACCGGTGGAACAGCTTGCCTTCAGAAGGTGTGGGTGCTCCATCACTGGAGGAGACTGGACAGTCACTTGTCTGAGACGGTATAGGGTCTCCTGCTTGAGCAGGGGGCTGGACTAGAAGACCTCCAAGGTCCCTTCCAGCTATATTCTGATTGAAAGAAGTCGAGATCCCAAAGCCAAACAACTGTCAATGCTTCTTTAGCCTCTGCAGGCATTCAAGAAGGCGGGCCAACTTACCCTTCGCCTGGGACTTGCAATTGAAGGTTACACAAAATCCTAGTTCATCTTTTCACCAGGGTTGCTGCTAACATGTGTGGAGGCTGCCTGCTCAACCTTCCAGAGGGGGACTGGCTCCCAGCCAGTAGTGGGGGGGGTTGGGTCTCTGCCTGCCCGCCCTCCTCTCTTTCTCACGCTCTCGGCTTCGATGGCTCCAGACACTTGGCTGCTTCAAGGGCCCTTTGCTGCCTGTCGGAGGACGTCTGTCTTGCGTTTATTTCCACCCACAGAGGCCAAAAAAATAAAAATTAAAAAAAAACCTGGAGAGCCTTTTCTAGGCACTTCTCTCCAAATTCTTTGGCTGCCTCCCACTTTGCCTCTCTCTGGAGCCAAAAGTCTGACTGCTCTCCATATGGTTAAGACACGAGTCGCTATAGGTAAATAAATGCCTTGTAAATACGAAAATACTGAAACGAATGGCTAGTATCACGGATCTCCAACGTCCTACTTGGTCACTTCTCCTGTGGATGGTGTTCCTCAACAATTTGTCACCTCCCCCCCCCAACTTCCCAATTTGGACCTAGAGTGACATTCCTTACTTCCAGCCAGACCCCAACATTGCACAGGGTGGAATGAGTATGTGAACCAACAGTGCCGCAATTAAAATCCTTAAAGTGGGATGAACAAGAATTTATGTCAGCTTGGAAAAAAACAAAACCCTGCTTTTAAAATCCTACAATAAAATGTTGTAGAAATCTGATCTCACATGGAAAATCCATTAGACAAGATTTTGTCCATAGCAGCCGTAAAGGCAAAGCAACAAAAGAAAAACACTCAGTTCAGGATGCTGCACGCTCTGTTGAAACCCAGAACGCAACAACCACGTGATTCACTTAACAACGGATGTGAGTCGCTTAACAGCCATGGCAAAGAGGTCATAAAATCAGGCGTGAGTTGCTTAACAACTGCCTTGCTTAGCAATGGGAATTCCGCTCCCAAGTCTGGTCGTAAGCCGAGGACCTCTTGTATTACGCCGGCTCCAGAATGCATCTTTTCCTTAAGGTGTCATGGAATCGATGCCACTTCCTGGGGGTGGGAACCAGCCGGAAGCCAATCCCCAAAGCTGCTTTTGTAGGGGACACAACCGTATCGTTCTCTGCAGCTCATTAAAGCAGCTGCCTCATTTCCTGGGCTTCAGCAGCGGCTCTCTACAACTGCTCATTCACAGGGAGGCTGTTCTGTCTGCGCTCCTGAAAGAACCGGGATCGAGGCAGTTGCGCATTCACCAGAGATCCTGCCAGCTGAGCTTGACCAAGTCCAAAGGCCTTCTCTCCCAAAGAGAAGCAGCAGACTGGGCTGCCCTATGCCGTGTCTCCTGGCCCCCAGAATAGGGAGCCGTAGCCACCTGCTGTTTTTCCCCTTCCAAATATATCTACAGGGCTGGAGACAGTTTTGGAAATCAAGATGATTCATGGCGCTTTGCTTTGCAGCAGACCAGCTTTTCATAAACTTATTTTTAACTGAGCAGATTCTTCAAAAATAAACTGCAGAGGAAAACAGAGAGTGTGACAGATGCCAAGAAAAGGATGGACCGGCTCACGAGGACCCACGGAGAATTTGGTTGCTCTCTTGTGGCCTCCTTAGATGTCTAAAACTTCCTGGATCTGGAGTTTCTGCGCTCAGTCACTCAAGCCCTGGTTATCTCACATTTGGACTATTGCAGTGCGCTCTGCATGGGGCTGCCCTGGAAGAGTATCCCAAAGCAACAACTGCTGCAGAATACAGCAGCATGGACAGTTTTTGGGGGGCCCAGGCTGGCCCGTGTTACACTGCTATTCTGGAAGCTACTGCCAGTCTGCTTCTGAGATATGTACTAGAGATTTTGTTATTGAACTATTGATTAACCCAATCACCACGTTGCCTTCCAAATACTCAAATGTAAAACTGGAAAACCAATAAAATGTTATATAGAAAAAAGAAGGGGCATGCTCTGGATCCTGGTGGTCAAGGAATTTTGGCTACGATGTTTAAGAGAAGAGCCTTTTCTGTGATGGCTCCTGCGCTTTGGAACATCTTACTCCTCCAGGTGAGATCTGCACCCACCCTTTTGACCTTATAAGGGTCCTGGAGACCTGGCTATTGCCTGGTCTCCTAAGGTCTTCCCCACATGCAGACTGTCCTATTCCCAAAGACTTTTGCCCACATGAAAGTGCCCAGCTGGTAGCAGTCAGAGCTGGGGCTTGCTAGTTTTTCAGACCTTTGGCGAGGCTCTGCTGAAGGACTGAGTCACAACTACCTCCAGCCAAAAGCAACCGAACAATCGTGCTCAGGAGCGTCTACAAGGGATGCCCAAACCGTCAAGACAGCAGCCATGATGGTGCGATCCAAATCCTTCTCCTTTTTAACATCCACACAGACCACACACCAGGGTCAGGGCAGGGATCAGTGCCCAGGAATTGGTTCTTTGGGATCCAGAGACAATGAACTCTCCTGTGAATAAAGGGACTTTAAACTTTATTATTAGTTAAAAGAAACAGATTGAAAAGCAAAAAAGAAATCCCAAAGGTGCTTTTTCAGGAAGCAATTGGACTTTCTTGTTTTTTCTTTGAAGACGTTTCGCTTCTCATCCAAGAAGACTCCAGGAACCATTTGCGCTTCAGTCTGAGAGGCAGACCACCTAGACTCATCCCCAACAGCCTTGCGCCTGTCTTCAACAGGGAAGGGACCCAGGGCAGAAAACATCCTGCAGCCAAGGAGGCTCCACACCCATTTGCACCGCTCAGGTGATCCCGAGGACACTGCTAAACCTCCGAATGGCCTCAATGACTCTCTCAAAGGATGCAAATGACCGGCGGTCTGCAAGGAATATAAATCCTTCCATCCCCCAGCCTCCGATCAGAGCTGAAGAAGTTTCTTGGATGAGAAGCGAAACGTCTTCAAAGAAAAAACAAAAAAGTCCAGTTGCTTCCTGAAAAAAGCACCTTTGGGATTTCTGCAAAACAGAATCAGAAACTTTACAATGGAAACCATATTTAGGATATTATGCTGTAAGCTGCTCAAAACGAGATGGGTGGCAAATAAACTTAATAAATAAAATAATAAACAATATTGCAACAGTGGGACTAAGCCTCCCTCCACGGGCGTCTCTGAGGCATCTTCCTTCCTTTTTCTGTGTCGAAGAATGAAAAGAGAAAGCAAGACGTCCACCAAGAGTGGCCGTAGCAATAG